TGTGGCTACTATGGTCTGTCAATGTCACAGAAAGAACTCTATTTTACTCATACCCTTGCCATGCTTCTGTGCTTTAGTTTGAGAGGAAGAAGAGGAATCCTTGTTTGTGCACTGAGCGACCGCAGACTGAATTTCAAACATGTTTGATTTTCTCCCGACCTTACGATTCCTGATTGGGAGGTGGTCATTTGAGGCTGATCGACCTTCGTTACACCCTATACACTATGCGATGCATGATGCACGATCAGGCGGAAAGTCGGCCCAATCAAAAAATTCTTGCACGACTGGAAAGTCGGCCTGAAAAGGGGATAAAATCGTACGGTGTATGCCCGGCTTAATCCTAAATAGAATTCCAGCATCTGGCGCAAAGAGCAGACATAAACAGACACGACACCACCTGTTGGCACTACCACACAACCAGATGGTGATCATTTAGGCAGCTACTAAATAGAGCCTGACTGTTATGCAATCCGTAAAGTGGCAGCTCATTTTGGTCGAAGATCAACCAAATTGAATCATGGCTAATTATCATAATTTATCTAAGCAACTTTAAGAGTTAGTGAATTTTCCCCAAAGCCTCCTGTCAGAACATCAATGGAAAACAATATTCCCGTTCCCACAAAAAAGCAAAAAGGGAAACAGCATCAAGGTTAGGACCAATCAAACTACATGTTCATAATGTTGTTTGTATTTAGACTGAAGAAACTAAGCATAGCATTGCTATCATTAGTATCAAATGGTAAATGGCATCTACTTGTATAGCACTTTTTTATTTCATGTCAGAAGACTTGACCAAAGCGCTTTATATTACTTTGATTCATTCACCCACACTGATGGTGACAAACTACATTGTAGTAACAGCTGCCCTGGGGCTAAATGACAGAAGAAAGCCTGCCGTATACTGGAGCCACAAGTATTACTAAGGACATTTACTCATGCATCCAACATCAATTTAGCCTCTACTTATGAACGCCACAGTAGCTTTAGTTTGTGCCACTAAGATTTACACAGTGTTCCCAGCATTCCTCAAGTCTTATCCAGTTTGGAACTGTTTTTTTCTTTTTGCATTTGGTTCTTGGACTTTTCTTCTGTATTTTCGCACTTTCTTGTTGACTCACTGTGAAATGTGCATTTATGTACCTCCATTGTTGTGTAAATAAACACAAATGACTTTATTTGCTTACAAAGTGAGCAAAAACAAACCATGAAACACAAAAAAATGCTGGCAGGACATTTTAATCTTTTGAATGAGTTACTGTTGTACACATTTTAAAAAATATAAAATAATGTGGCTATGCACCTTTAGGAAGCTGATGCTCTGCTCTCTAGCCAGCAGGCAAACCCCCTGCAGTTACAACCCCTGGGTAGCTACTGATGACTTAACCATGATCAAATCATTATTTAGATTTATTTAGACTTTAAATAAATAATTTATTTTCAGTGAGCGAAAAACCATACTATTTTTATGACTGTCTTTATAGTCCAAATTGAATACTGATAAAACACTGAGCCTCTAACTGAACTCAACTCAAAAAGCTGTTTTTCAGAACAAAAATACAAAATTTAGCAGAACTTTAACCACTTGAACTAACCTCTGACCAAAATACACTGTCAACTCATTCAATAATGCACTGATTTGAATTATTTTCCCTTTATTTAACATGTTTATTTAAGAAGTGTGAGTCCATACGTGGTTCAATCAACTTTTGCTGCAGTTGAGGCTAGAAATTTCTTTGGGACGTAGAACTGTAGCATTTTCATTTATTCAACATGGCATGAAAGAGCACTAATGGAGCCCTGCTCCTGCAGCATATTTGTATCACACCTTCTCCTGCACTTACTTTTCACACAATTGTCAGACATCATACAAGAAAATCTGTTGAGTCTAGATGATGCTTTGTGAAGAACTGTGAAAGCCTGATTGCAGGAAGAGAAAAATGTTTCTATTTTCTCTCATTACAGCAATTGTCTCAGTCCAAGTAAAATACCAGAGGGATTATGTCTCTTTTAGTGTCTGCAGCAAAGGTTTGTCTAACTTTTTCTTAGAAGTATAGCTCAGGTTTGGTCAGCAGGAATGCAGAGCATCTGAACAGCAGGTGATGCCACCTGTCAACCAATTCTAGATGCCCACCACTAATAATCTGGACGCAGGGCTCCCCATGTCTTCTTTAAACATTTGCCATCTTCTTTCTTCTCTCCTATAATGTTAGAAAAGCAGAGTGCATGACCATTTGACCTGCCAACAGTTTCTCATCCCTAATCTGTTGAGGCACCATGAGCCGTTCAAATCCTAAGTTTTTTTTAAATCCTTATTTTTCTTTCAAAGTTTTATATAAAATGTTCTCAAGCCTTCCAAACTCAATATCATGAAATATTGAAATATTATCTTTTTCACAACCCATGCAACACCAAAACATGCTCATTTATGGCAGCTGAAAACTTTTTTTTCATAACATAGAGAATATCTAAATAAAAAATAACAGTTGCTGTCAATGTAAAGATTAGCTGCTAAAAGAGCAACTTGGTCTCAACTGATAGCATCTCTGCCTCGTATCATGGCTGACTGACTGGAGAAAGTGGAAGTATTGTTTACTGTGCAGATGCAGCATAGTTAAGGTAGGTGCTCGCTAGGGTGGTCAGGTAAAGGCAGCTCTATGTAAACTGGTCTTGGCCACTCATTTTCCAGAAACTATAAATAGATTAAAAACTATCAATAGACTCTGTAGACTCTGTTATTTGACTCCATGTTTTCTAAAAAATATAGTTTGATTCTGTATTTTCTGAGAGAAAATTCAGGCTAAATTCCCAAGTTTTTTTGTTTTACCTCCTGGATATTTAAGTGGAGCATCCTGCTCAGTTTTATCTCTATGCTCCACAAATCATGGCTTAAGGTGGCCTCGGATTAAATAGTTGTTTGTTTTAATTTTTGGTTGGAAAACCAGCTGAGTGAAGTTATCCCACCTTTTCCAATCAAACAAAAATGGTGTAGAACTTTTGTGCTGCATTTATGCAGCAAATTTTGGATGATTCTCAATTCACAAGAAAGCAAGCACCGACTCGTGTCCTCACCTAGTATGTTCTTGACATGAACACAGGAAAATCTGGACTCTGGGAGAACGGGAGCACGCAGCATTAATCTGGGTCAATTGGAAAAGAAACGTACTTGTGACGTCACCACACACTCAAATCATAGGGAGTGGCATTTCACCTCCTGTTATTAATAGTCTCTAAATAATAGTAAATTCTTACCTTTTTCATTTAGTGGGGGAATAATAAACACAAATAAACATAGATAAACACAAATCAAAAGAACATTTTCCAAATCAAACACAAAAAAAAATCGCCATCAGAGCCAGCGGTACTTCACATACTTGCTGAGAGAGGGCTACTGCAGACAGGCTAAGGTTAGCCCGCTCTCTTAGATGTCCGCTAGTTGCCATGGTCCTCTCAACATTGGAATTTTCTTTTAAATTTTGCATTAAACTGGTAAATGGACCATATAGTGATGCATAAAAGTATAATATTCTCAACACAAATTATCTTAAAATTAACTTATAACTTAATACTTTGAGCTCTATGAGCTCTCCATTTAAAATTGCTGCTGCCGCAGTGCATGCTGGGACAGCTTTCAATCTCATGAACGGACAAATCTGCTCTGATGTATGCTGGGTAAAGAGGGAGGGGTGAGAACAGACTTTGTCTGTTCTCGGTCTGCTGTTGTTGTGATTTGAAACAGTACTAGGGCTGAGGCTGAGGCTGATGACGTTTCACGAGCACATAAGAACGCACAAGTACACATATTGAGAAACGGGCTTTCTCTGTTCTCGGTCTTAAGTTCTTGTGAACTGGATCAGTGCTAGGGCTGAGCCTGATGACGTTTCATGAGCACACAAGAATGCACATGTACACATATTGAGAAACAGCCTTTCTCCGTTCTCGGTCTTAAGTTCTTGTGAACTGGATCAGTTCTAGGGCTGAGGATGATGACGTTCCATGAGCACACAAGAACGCACAAGTACACATATTGAGAAACGGCCTTTGTTTTAATGTTGTTCACCAAAGTTCAAAAGAGAAAAGGTCAACCAGCCCCGATTCCAAAAGTTTGTGCTATGATTGTGCAGCAACAATTGTATTACTGAAAGCTTACATAGGTCACCATAGGTCAACTGCCCCACCACCACCATCATCAATTCAGTTAAATCTTAGTAATCTTAGTAATCTACATTTATGCTGCAATTACTATTTTTCATAAAATGTCAAAAGTTCAATAAATAGATTTGATGGAATCAGTCCCAGATTAATAATCTGTAAAACTGAACTCATGGTGCTCCACATCATCAATGGCTAACGTTTTATTGCACCTCTTAGAGAGCTTTACTGGATTTTATTTTATGGATCAAAGTGAAGGGGATGTCATACAGCACTTTAAAACTATTTGTCATAAATATTCTGAAATCCAGTGTCAAATTTTCCATCCATCTCACCGATATCTCATGTTTATGCTCTTTCACATAAATCGTAAAATCACAAAGAGTTGCATGTGAATATCATCAATATTCTTAACATATTTTGTACCAATTTAATGACACAAAGCAGATATTGCTGAAAAATCTTTGGGTGTTAACGTGGAGCCTCACATGCTGCTAGATGTGGCCTGATCTATAAAACATGCGTCATAAAGTGTTGCAGCAGACCTCATCCAAATATTGACACAACTGCTGTCAAGGGTTTTACGGCGTCCTCCTTTTTTAACGAGACGTGCAACAGCACAAGTGTATGGGTCTGACAGCAAAACAAGTTTGGAGTTTCGTTTCATTATTAATGCAATAGATGCATGTTTTCTAAATTGAAGTTTAAAGAAATGCAATCCAGAAATGTGTATTTTTACTTTGTATTTAAACTTTACTTTTAAAACTTTTTTTGATTTAGTTTTCTTTTGATTACCATATTAAAATTTGCAACTTTCTTATTTTAAGATTAAGTTTTACCAATTGCTTTCTTTTGAAAATGCATTTAAAAAATGACATTAACCTTTACAATGTTGTTACTAATGTCCGTGCAGACCAATAAAAATGCATCTTCACTTCAAAGGAAAGTCTGAAAACGTAACTTGAAAAGAATGCAATTTGGAAAACTCTATCTGAAAGGACGAAATTTGAAAAAATTAAATAAATTAGGAATTTTTTTTATGAAAGGTGAAAAAGAAGAAAATATGATACTAATATCAATAAAATTCAGTAAAAAATCATTTTTAGTTAACAAGTTACATTTCTAGGATCAAACTTTGTTCTTTGCTTGCAACAGTAATGGAATAAAATTCTCTCCATACTACGCAGCATTTAATAAATTTGAAACTTTTGATGTTATGTCCTCTTTCCCAAACTGCCCCTGAGTTCATAGAGTGTGTAGGTCAAAGAGGCTGGAGTAATGTGTTACACAACACTGGAGTTATAAACAGCTGCCAGTGTTTCTTTCAGACCAGGCAGGGTGAGCGTGGTTGTTTTGATTCCACAGGGCTCAGTCAAAGGTAGTTGTGTGTGTGCCGATATACGTGTGGGTTGTGCACGCCTCCTCTGTGTGCACGCCTGCAAGTCACTAATGGGAGGGCTCAATTGCACCAAATTACCCTCAGTAACTTTGCCTCTGTTTTTGTTTTCTGCACCTGTCCAGGGCTGAGAATTAGGTCAACAGTCACATGCAGCAAAGTAGCAGTGACCTATAAAAAAAAATTATTCTTAAGCTCGTTTAGCTCGGTGTAACAACTCAAGCATTTCAAGACTCATAGGCAAATTTTTCCATGATTAGCTCAAACGCGCGGTTGGGGAAAGGGTCGTCTGTGTTGACGGAGCTCCCTGGAAATGGCAGTTGTCTGCATCTTATTGCTCAGTGTTGACTTTGGAGGAGTTCCAGCCATTTTGACCTTCAGGAGAGTCACAGACGCAGGTGCTGCAGTTAGTGTGTCCTCTGGGTCAAATGAGTGTTTACAAGGAGTTGCAGGAACCAGGAAACTAAGAGGGGAAAAAATGTGGCACAGATATGTTCTCCTGCTGAGGGATAGGCTGCTGTTTGAGTTCAGCTCGGCTTTGATGCTCAGACTTGAACTGAAGTGCTTGACAGCCATCAGAACGCCGCATATTTGAAATAAGTCGGAGTTCACACCTTTCCTGAAAAGAACATGAAAGAACAAAGGTGCATAAATTCCATACTACACACTGCTGTATAGTAATAACAGAAAATCTTTGCAGAAAAACATGTTCTTTTTGACAGACTGCATATCTGTCTGCAGACTGGAAACAGCAGGCACAATGTAGGTCAGCCCCTCCCACTTTTTATAATTCAGCCCCACCTTGAAATTACTCTCCCATGCAAGCAGAGCAGCCTCAAATAAACTCGTGGCAAAGCAGATAAAGATGTGAGGAGAAGTGAGAGTTCTGATTGGGAAGCAAAGCCTGCTTCTAAGTCCCACCCCCGCATTTTATGACATTCTTCTAAGGGGTTATCTTTCAGGCCTCCAAAGGAACAAAACTGAAGTCACGTACCTGCTCTGAGTTCTGCTTCACCGACCAACACCAGGAATCTCAGGTTCCTCCTGAGACCCATCTTCAGGTCTCAATAAACTTCTCCAAAACTGTGACCAGTTAGTTTCCCAGGACAGAAAGACAAACCTTTTAAGGAAGAAATAGTTCCAATGTCATATCTGCATGGATGTGGGATGTTGTTCAAAAAGAAGAAAGAAAAAAAGAGGGGGGTTAACTTTATTTCTCAGGAGACAGGAATGCAACATGGACTCACTATGGGGGCCCCTTTGCAGCAGCTGACGGCACGGCTGTGGACTGGTGACCATTACGTTCCTTAATGAGTCTGCTGTTAGGGGCACTGCGTCATATACCGGGAATAGTGCATTCTTTCCTCTTCTTACCATAGAAGTAGAGCTCTGGCACTTTTAAACTGTCAGACTCAGAGGGAGATTCCACATTACAGAGAAGTTAACTCATAGGTTAAGATTTAATGGATTAAAAAGCACCATGAGAGAAGGGTATTTTCCTAGAGTTACAAGAAGAAGAATGTGACTCTGAAATGGGTTGTCCAATTAAATGAATGGCACAAGTTCAAACCTATGGCCATCCACCAAACTGGACGTGGTAGGAAGAGGGCAGCAGGAATCACCTGCCAAGAGGTCAATTGTAACTCTAGAGGAGCTGCAGAGATTCCCATCAAAGTAGGGACATCTGAGGTATACTTATTACTGACACACTCCCTTTATCAGGCATCTTTGGATGAGCTGTAAAAGAAAAGTCAGAGCCAACATGTGGAACAAGGTCTGATATAAGCACCATCGACACAGCAGACATGTTAGGGCTGCACAATATCTCCCAGGTTTGTTGTTATCCCAGTATCACTGTAGGTAATATGGATATCATGAAAAACTACTAACTACTTGGGCTACTTAGTGGCTAATTATTTAAATACCTTTTAATAAGGTTCAGTTTGCCTGAAAAGAATAAGACTCCTACAATTTTGCTGAACCCACAGTTGTTGACAAGAGTATGCCATTACCAATGTCAGTACTTTCACAAATACATATATATACATATATCATCTTCTTATTACAGCATAGGACTCCGCATGGTGGTGGCAGTATTATGCTGTGGGGATGTTTTTGTTTTCGCAGTGGAGAAAAAAAATTCAAGGCTGAAGATAGGAAAATAACAGCATGACAACAGTTCAGAATATTTTCTTGTCCTTCAATGAATTTGTCAAAGTCCAGACTAGGGATGCATCAAGACAAACACTGGTCTCAGGTCTGATACCAAATGCAAGTTCTTACACTATCCTTAGATGTCCTCCGGTACTGAAAGATCGGAGACTAGCATAATTTTTCCTCATACAGCCATACTGAGTTTACTTGTAAGTGGCATTAATGTATCATAAAGTGAAGATGAACCACAAGAAGAAGCAGCTAGAGCAGCAGCATGGTAGCTAGACAATGGGATTGACTTTAAGCAGTTTTGTCAGCGGTGATGGGGTAATGCCAAAGCTTGTTTCCCACTAAAATATAGAAATATAGTCCTCCTGCTGGAAAGCTTCGTGCCACTGCCCCCCACCATTGCTTGTCTGATGACAGCATAACGCTGTGTGAGCGTTGCTGATGTCAACAGTACAATGGAAATCAGGGAAGTAAATAATGAAGAGCAACATGGACGGGAACCAGAGCGTAGTCAGAATTCTTTATTATTTTGCTCTTTTCTCTCTCCGAAACCCTTGCACCGGCAACGAATCATGTCAATCGAATCTAAACAGACATGTTTTGGCTTGTTAGATTAGAGGCGACTGGTGCGGTGAGTTGACATCCGTACATTGAGTTCAATGGTGCAACCTAATTTTGCGGGTCATCCCCAGTCTGGTGTTCCCACAGCATGCCAATCAGAGCCGATGCGATTTAAACATGGATCGCTTCCCGAGTCGTTTGACCTGGGTAGACATGGGTCAGCAGTGAGCTGCTCCCACCGCCACTAAAAGCTGATTGTTCCCGGGTTTAAATTGGTTTTTCAGCAAGCGGGAATGGGGTATAAGTGAACAAAGAAGCAGCCATTACTTTAACAGGAAATTAGCTTAGCAGGTAGGCTGGGCTCTAAGCAGAGCTTTGCTGCTCTGAAAACTGCTAAAGCACAGCAAAAAGGAGCGCCATTCTTCATAAAGACAGACTTTAGTTCATGTTCATCAAAGCTTATAAGAGGTATAAAAATAAGATGCATCCTAACAGTAAGGGATTCAAGGTAGAGGAGCTGGTTTAGTCTGCTCAGTGTATCAGAACATAAGATGAAAACTTTTGTTATGACCAGGCTTTTGTTTTGTATTTAGATCGATTTTCATATCAGCAAAAACGAAAATCTTAGTATTAGTACTCTCACCTGGATTGAAGAAAATCTTGTATGAATGCATCCTCAGATTGGAACACATCTATTTGAAAATAAACTTAAAGTACAAGGATTCTCTCTGACCAATCTGACTTAATTTGAGCTGCTTTGCAACAAAGGATTGGCATAAACAGCAGTCTCTAAAGTTGATGAAGACATAACCCAGAAGATTTGAGAATGTAAATCTAGATAATCCTGATAGGTATTTATTAAAAAGACTAAACTTAAATGTATGCCTCACTTTTAGACTTTATTTGTATCATGTCTAAATCCATATAAAACATTTTTAGGTTGTATTCAAGGGTTTCAATACTTTTGCATTATAGAAGAAACAGTTGAAAAAACAGCTATTTATAGTTCATAGAATCTTCTCTGACCCTCACAGGCACTTGATATGAGACTTCAGCAAGTAACCACAGAGCTTCAGCTAGCAGCAGCATATCTGCATCAGCACAGTTTATGCAGGAAAGCAGATAAGGTGAGATAACCAACATATGATCTGAAAACAGAAAAAGCTGAATGCACTGTGGCCTGTTACACAACTCAGCACAAAGGGGGCCTTTCATATTGGACTGACAGCACAATGACCTTTTGCATAAAAGGTCACAGAAACAAGCAAAAGTAGGAACTGAAAGAGGCTGTGTTAATTCTAGGATTGTGGTTGAACGGCACAAACAAGCCAAACAATAAAGCCTGAGGTTTTTTTCTCAGAGGCTCACGGGTTTGTGGTGGGTAGGTAACAATGGAGCCTCAATCCAGTTCCATCACATTCCTTTGACTTATATTTCTTGCTCATCTCGCCTGTTTGCCGTCTGTAGTAATGTATCTGCTCATGATTTGCACATGTAATCACATTAGGCAGAACTTAAACTCTTATCCAGGTAGATCTAGTTTGTCAGAAAGATGTGGATTATAGGTGGAGGAGGCTTGGTGTTATGAGATCAGGTGTCAGAAAAAGAAGTCAAAAAGGTTCAGAAGGAAAGAATACACTAAACAGACCAGAAGGACTTTTTAAAATGAAGAGGCTTTGCTGAATAGACATAATTCAGTGTTGCACAAAAAATCAATAGAGTGAACATACTGATTAAGAAATATGCAGAAAATTCTTCAAATAACTATATCTGCCCTTACTTTAAAAGGATTACTACAATGATCTATCTATGCATTGAGTATTTTTGCCTTTAATATAAGACAATTTTAATTTTTTTTTTTACCTGCAACTCATTTGGCTCTGTGAAAGAAAACTTTTCTCCCTTTAATACACACATAAAGTGCTGCATTCAAATGTGTTTCAAACAAAAAGATAATTTAACTTCAGCTCTGGCATTTTTTGAATTTGTTTTATTTCCTTATGTTCTGACCTGAAAACAGCCGAGCGTCCAAAAGAATCTGTGGGTGGCAGAATGGGAAGCTGCAGTCGTGTCGTCCTCAAACATGTTCAGATAAGCAGGATAATGAGAGGCTTGAACTCTTTTTCTGGAAAGTTTAAAACTTGATAAACTTCTCCTTTTTTTTTTTTTTTTTTTACATAACAGGCCCAGTGTGAGCAAAGTTCCCCCACGGCAACACTAAAGAGCGTTCTGTCGGCACTAAACCGCAGTAAAAACTCCAAACATTTCCCCTCGCAGGCGACAGCTTGGTGATGAATAATGCATGGATAATGTATGCTTCCACCCTCGTTAATGCCAAGCTGAATAATTCAAGATGTCATAATACATTGATTTTAAAGTGTTATTTGAATTAAAGAATTGACAAATGGATCTGTTTGTCATGATGGGTTCACTAAAAGCGACCCAAGTATGCAGAACACCACTGACGGACACAGGGATGAAAGTTTAACAAGTTTATTTTGCTCAAGCACACAGAATGTACTGGTTCGGGTTCGGGGCCTGGATACTGGTTCACCGGAGTCTGCGTGAGAGACAGTTCAGTTAGCGTTGCCAACAGAGGTTTGATTTCCTGAAGCCTACTGATTGTACCTTGAGGGTTCTTGAGGGTTAGCTTTGGGAGAGTCTCTGTTGGATCTGGAGAGGGGTTCATCAGCAGAGTCTGCTAGCTGCTTCAGCGTCTCACTTCTACAAATGAACAGACCTTGGCTTTAGGTTTTCCAGCTCTTAGCCCTGAGCTGCTTGGAGGTTCTCTAGGATTCTTCAGGTTTGGCTCAGAGGGTCGGCTCGGCAGGTTAGCTCTTCCTGAGCTTCTCAGAGGAGACACTGGTTTCCTGGAAGACAGAGACAATGGTTAGAATCCAGGCTGGATTCAAAGTCATAAGTTTCACTGAGGATCTACGCTTAAGCGCTGACCAACTGGAACAACACTGCGGCGTTGAGGCAAGGTCTGAAGACAGCTTAAGTAGTGGATCCTCTGATGATCTTGATGAACTGCAGCTGTGCAGGAGGCTCCCTCAGAGGATCCACGGCGGACTCTGCTGGAGAAAGGTGGAACTTCTCCAGCTCCCAACACTGTTAAAGTGAGTTAACCCATATATATATGTATATATATATATATATATTTATAAATGTGTATATACTGCTCTCTCAGCCACTTCTCATGCTCCTGGGTACGATGGTTGGTTCTTTCAGCTTAAAGTCGTAGGGAAATCATATTTCAATGTCAAATCATTCTGGCTTAAACATGTATATAAATGTACTCTTTATCAAACTATATTGTCCGGAAATGTAGAAAATTTCTATTTAAAAAAAAATCCTGTCTTAAAATCTGTGGGGGGGGTTTTCGTAAGCTTATGC